GCTTCTCCAGGCTGGCCTGGCTCAGCTGGCCGGGCTCGCTCGCCTGGCTGGCCTGGGCCTCGGCCTGGCTAGCCAGCCTGATTCGCCTAGCTGGACTGCCTGGTCCGGCCTGGCTAGCCTGGCTGACCTTGCTGGTTTGGCTGAGCTGGCTTGCTGGACTGGCCTGGCTGCCCTGGCTCACCCGGCTGGGCTTGCTGGCCTGCCTGACCTTCCTGGCTTGGCTGTCCTGGCCCTGGCTGGCCTGACCCTGGCTGGCCTGACCCTGGCAGGCCTGGCCCTGGCTGTCCTGGCCCTGGCTGTCCTGGCCCTGGCTGTCCTGGCCCTGGCTGTCCTGGCCCTGGCTGGCCTGACCCTGGCTGGCCTGACCCTGGCTGGCCTGACCCTGGCTGGCTTGGCTTGCCTGGCTGGCCTGCTTGGCTGGGCTGGCCTGACCCTGGCTGGCTTGGCTGGCTTGAGTGGCTTCGCTGGCGCGGCTGGCGTGGCAGCCCATGCTGGCGGCGGAGGCACGCTGATCCGGCTGGTCCTGCTGGCTGCGGTGCGTCGACATGACTCCCGGACACTCGACTCCGGTCTGGGGCAGCTGCCTGCGCACGCTGCCCGGGCACGCGCTCCTCCGCCCCGCCCCGCCGGTGCGCCGCGCCCCGCCCCGCCGGAACGCTCCGCCCCGCCCGGTACGCCCCGAACGGTACGCCCCGCCGCCCGGGCCGCTCGGCCACTCAGCGCCAACGCAGCTCGCGCAGCTCAGACGGCTTTATATTGATCGCCCCAAGGCGCTGCTGCTGGACCAGCAGGCAGTTCCAGTGCACGCCGACCTTTTTGCCCCTGTCCGTAACGTCGACTGAGAACTCCCGGTGAGACGGCGGCCGGTTGCGCGCAGCGCGTGAGGTCTGTCACGTTCGAGCGGAGGCGCGCGCCGGGGCCGCGCGGCGCCGCCGGGCCGGGCCTGCCCAGCCTGCCGAGAGTCGTTCTCGCCGCTCTGTCTCTCTCGCACCTTTAGGGGAAGGAGGAAGGAGTAGAGAGAGAGGCTGACAACAAGGGCCGCGAGTGCGCCGCGCCAGCCTCTTCTATTTCCGCTCTGGAATTAGCATAACACTCAATCCGCGGGCTGCCGCGCACTGCCGTCTCCCTCGCACTCACGCCAAGTGCCGCGGTAGTGCGCCAGACAGAGCGACGCGGCGCGGCAGTGTGCCGAAACGCTCTGAGGATCCGAGCGCGAGCCGATTCCGCCGAGCCGCGCAGCGTAGCGCGCACGCCGCCGTTGCCGCCGTCTCCCTCGCGCCGCCAGGGCGCCCGGGACGTCCCATGAGTGTAAGAGAAACTGCACACTGATTCAGACCGTCGTTTCCTCGAGGGGTTCATCACTCATGTGTACTCACGCGTCTAAAAAGCGCATAATTCTCTGATTTTTGGCACGATTCGGTGTTGTTTGTCGTCTAAGACGCTAAGAATCAAGAATAGTCTAAAAACGTTTGAAAACGTGAAATTTGTGCTTTTTGCAAGGTGAACTTCTCCCTTTTCAGTAACTCACACAAATAAAAAGAGCATAAGCCTCTGATTTTTGGCATGAATTGGTGTTGTTTATCCTCTGAAACGCCAAATAAAGTCTAGTCACGTTTCAAAACGTGAAACTTGTGAGTTTTGTCGCACTCATGTGTACACCAAAACGCAGAGTGATCCACCCCTCACGTTACCGTCGCTCCGGATCTTTCTCTCACGCACTCATGGGGCGTGCCCTACACGTGCGAAAGAGACAGAGCGACGAAATACGACGCAATCATTTGGCCGGCCCCGCCGACACCGGGGCGGTGACGTCGCGGAGACGTGACGTCATCGCGCCGCGGCGACGGCCAGGGGGGCGTGTCCGCGGCGTGCGCGGCGTGCAGTCCGCACGGGCCGTGTGGGCCTCGCGCGTCACGCGCACGCCGCTCGCGGTGCAGTCGCACCTGCAGACTGAGAGTCGCTTTCGTCGCTCTGTCTCTCTCGCACTCATGGGGCGTCGCGTGTAGGAGCAAGAGCGACACAGCGACGCGCGAGGGGGAAATCCCTCTTAACACCTGCGACCCGACTATTACGCCTATAACGCTCTATATACGCCTCAAAAAGATAGGGACTTAGTTGAAAACAGACCAAAAAACCCCTAAAATTGATCAAATTTTGAGAATTTCGGCTATTACGCTACTATTACGAACACTATTACGCGTGCTATTACGGACAGAGTGACCCGACTATATTACGCGAGTGCTTTCCCCCTCGGCGACGCGTGACCGACTCGCGGAATCAGCCGAACGATTCAGAAGATCGGATTGTCGCTCTGTCCCTCTCGCACCCTTACGGAGAGCCCCGTGAGTGCGAGAGAGACAGAGCGACGAAACGGCCCTTCTGAATCGGTCGGCCGCCCACAGCAGTCGCGCCCGCCCTGCGGTCACACTGCGCCCAGCGCGGGGCACCGCGTCACAGCGAGCCTGGCTGAGCTAGACTGAGCGAGTGACGAGGTGACGAGCAAGCGACGAGCGCTTCGCGGCCAATACGCTCCTGCCGCGACGTTGTCCTGTGCCGCCAAACAAGCAAGCGGTTAGCCAAACACGCGGCGCGACAAGGTGTGCAAACGTGCAAACGCAGCGACACGGCCAAAAAAGACGAAACGGCGAAAGGAGAAGCGTGGCGCGCCGCGTGCGGGTTGGCTTGGCCCCCTGGGCCCCCCTGGCCCCCCTGGGCCCCCCTGGGCCCCTCCTGCGCGGCGCGAGTGCGCAGCGGAGCCGCCGGGCCGCGGCATGGCACCGCGGCACCGCACGAGGCGGCACGGCGCGCGACCAATTGGAACGGAGTGAACAGAACAGAACCGTCCCGACGTGTGAGACTATCGGCAGCGCACGCCGTGCCCGCAAAGAAAGCATACCAACACCACGATGCACAGTGGGCCGGAAGACCGGTGAAGGACGCCGAAATCCCGGACGCGTTTTGAGCTGCAGAGCCGCTATATGGGACCCGAACCGAACGCGTGACCCCACCAATGGATTGCTCTCGGAACGAGGAATCCATTGGTGGGGTCACACGCTCGTTTCGAGTCCTGTTCAGCGACTATGAGGCTCAAAACGCGTCTAGAGTTTTGGTCGCCTGCGCCGGTCTTCTGGCCCACTGTGCGATGTGGCCCGGCCAACCTAGACGAGCCTAGGCATGCCACGTTCCGCGGCATTCACTGGCATCCACCGCGCGACGACAACGCAGCCAACTAACTACGAAGTCAACGTGGGGAAACGCAGGGAAACTTTGGGGATCGTAAGGAATCGTAGGGAATCGTGGGGAATCGTGAGGAAACGTGGGATCGTGGGAAACGTGGGATCGTGGGAAATCGTGGGGAAACGTAGAAAAAAGAAGGAAAACGTACGGAAAGGTAGGGAAACGTTCGTATGCGGCCAAAGATATTCCCCGCCCTTTCCCGTTTCAAATGAAATAACACTTGTGCTTCCGACGCATCGCGACGCGGCGAGCTGTCTTGGTGGGCCGAGTGGTCAAAGGAATGTTGGCAGCACCAGCGGAGATAAACATCTGGCTCTGCGTAAACTGACGCGTGCAGCGAGAGAGCGAGAGAGAGAGAGAGAGAGAGGTCGAGAGAAGGGGGGAGGGGGAGAGGCAGGTCGCGGAGCTACATCAAAATAGTGCGCACCGCAGCCAATCGAAACATAATACAGCCGTGCGCCCAACGCGCATGGCGCATGACACGCGAGCGTCGAACATTCGGCCGGGTATCGGCTCGTTGTTTATTGCAACAAAACCCAAAACCCACAGGAAAGGACAAGTCTCTGTCCCTGGCGTTATCACGGATCGGTCACCCAACGTTCGCGAGCAGAAGCAAAAAGCTTCGGGCGATTCTTCTCCTCCCCTGATGGACGAGAGTGCACATGCCACAGAGACATTATAGCTCGATGGAAACCACAAAGCTAGTTATCTCTCTTCAACTCGAAACCAGGGTGCGCAAACTCAATATTATTTCGCAATTTTTGGAGTTTTATTTTGGGAACGGTTAGAGGTAAAAAAAGTTGCAAATGGAATAACTTCAATAAAAAATTTGATTTTAAATGTAAGGCACTTTTTTTTATATCTCAAGCTGTAAATGAGAACATAGGCGCCCAAAATGTCAATAAGTTTACGCACCTAGCCAGGCCAACCATAAAGTCACCATGGGATTTAAAAGGAGTGCTTCCTTTGCATCTGTCAGTGTTCTCACGTCTGCGCAGCACACGTGCCCCACCATTAAAACTCCTTGCTAATTGAAGACAGGGGCCTGCACACCTACCACCTCAGTGACAAAAGCACAGAACCTCAAGCCAATGGAACACTGTAGACGGGCAATCTCTTCAATAATATGTACGTTAAGGAAAATAAAGCCATTGATATCAAGACCTTGACGTTATTAATCAAGACATAAATGACTTGCAACTGGTGGAGCCAGTACTATTGAATGACGTCATTCAATGAATGAACTTTTATGGATAGACCATAGTTCCAGACTTATCTTAGTTAGGAGACTTAAATTGGTACACATATTAAATGAAGAAAGCCAATTTACTGTGTGAAATGATGCGGATAATTGATGATAGGTTCGTAATTAGAAACTGATGCACAATCAATGAAATGGAAGGATAAGCTAATGAATGAATGACGGCCTAGACCTACTTCAACTTAAATATCAGTAGCATAAAAATAGAATGTTCCTTGAATGAAATAAAACAGTGGTTAGTAAATGTCATCGCCAATTAAAGGCAATAGAGAATCAACATTGAACGACACACCAGGATACGTCAATGCAAACTTAAAATTATGCAAGAACACTCATGTCATGTATTTAAACTGTAATCAGCAACAAGGCTACTTAAGCGCACCCTGAATGTTTATAAACAGACCGACAACCAATATATCAATATTGCCAACTGTTTTATTTCATCCAATATGAAAAAATAAAAAATAAAAGAATTATGCTAAGTTAGGCACAAATTTCTTACCTTTAAGATAGGGGAGGGCTTGTAATTCCATTTCACCAGCATTCCGGTACCTTGACGATCCCTGAGACTTTTTTTTCTTTTTCTTGAGTGAAGCCTTGGAGCCCCACGGGTCTATTCTATCCACAAAAGCTCCAGATGCACTCATTATGTCCTTATGCACACGTTTCGCACACACTCGCACTGATCACAACAACAACATCACCCTTTTTCAGTCTTGAGCACAGCTATAGCATTCCGCCTGGCAATGGCAATGTTTGGGGCGTGTTTCCACTCGGTCCAACTCTGTCAATCGGTCACGGGCACTCGCGATGTCTTTGCAATGCTTTTTCTTGCATTTCCGTCACTGCCGCACTTGAACGCGGAGCCGCCTCGGCCCGCCTTGGGGCCCGTCCCCGTCGTCGCCGTCCTGGGCCGAGTGGTGCGACCCGACCCGTCTTTAGTCTGCACCGCTACGCTGTGGCTGCTAACCTCGGCAGGCCTCAGCACAGGCTTGCCAGGCTCGGCGGCTCGGCTCCTGGGCGGGCTAGGGCCAAGGGACGGCCAAGGGATGGCTGGGGGCAAGATTTCCACCCTCTTCCTCCGGCTCAGCACACCATTTTCTACAGCTTCCACAGCCCGGCTAGGCGAGGACGCGCGTTACAAGGCGAAAGTGGGCACAGACCGCAGAGGCAGACAGGCACAGCCGACCGCCATCACACAGCACTACACCTTCGTTCTTGACTTTAAAATGGGCCAAACCCCAACGTTCTTCGCGCACGGGCTTGCAGTCATGGTTTCACTACGCACACTGGTTGGACGGGGGTGCACGAGGGAGGGGCGAATGTAGAAAACCACAAACAAACAATGTCTGGCAATAACAAATTTGCCGAAAAACTACATAAAGATGAAAATAGTGTCGTGAATTGGCGTTGCGTTCAGTCCCGTTCCGCTCCGTCCTCTTCTCGTGATTAGCGAGAAAAAACAAACGCCTGTCGTAGTTGTGTTTACTTCCGCTGTTTGGTGGCAGCGTGAGTCTCGCTCCTGGCTGTAACTCGTTGCAGAGCGGCCGAGCGGCCGCTGTTTTGTGCTCTAAAATTCCCTCGTTAATCATTTGACAGGATCATCGCAGTATTCACTGGTCAAAAGGAGCAAATATTCCAAACTTTTTCAAAATGACCATCGGCTGTAAAAGCTGAACCCTGGCCGAAGGCATGGAGGGCTTGGTCACAGCCATCAGCAGACGACACACGGACGCCTTTGAAAATTTTCGAGCAGGCGTGAATAAGATTTGTTGATAAAATCTATTGTGGTGTTTTGTGTTTTGGCTTTAGAATTTCGTGCTTGTGATTGTTGTATACGTGCATATCTTGTGCATTTTGACACTTTTACAGTGTTGTTCGTCCCTTTCTCAAAACTTGTAGCCTGCTTGTCAGCTTCTCCAGGTCTCATCCTGGAAGTAACATTCTAAATATCGGTGCTGTATCTACCTGACAGTAGATAAACCTGTTGGGGTTTTTCTCACCCCTCAAAGAACACATACCGCTTTCTGACTCAACATCTCAATATGGTAGCTACAATTCTTAATTTGGTTAGTTAATTTTGTTTTGGTTATTGATTATTAATATCACTACCCCTACAGAGTCGCTGTCCGGGAATGTACTGTGGCAGAACAGTACTAGACAACGGAACATTGTCTGATTGCACAGCCTGCCCACGAGGATTCCGCTCTAACTCCTCTTCGATATGTGAGCTGTGTAAAGACAATCCCATATTTTATGATTGGCTCTATTTGGGTTTCATAGTCATCACAGTGTGTGTTCTACATTTATTCTGTATTGATACAACTGTTAGAAAAAAAGGGTAAGTCTTATCTGGCTCTTGCGTCTTAAAATGGTCGGAGTTGTTTTAAAAATATTTTTTCTCTCATCTGTTTACAGCGTTGTTCTTCATATTTGTGCTGTTTTGGAGACTATAGCAGCTGCTATTTTAACAGTTCTTGTAGTAGATCCAATTGGTGAATTCGGTGTCAGATCATGTCACACCCATCATTTATCTGACTGGTACACACTGTTTCACAATCCAAGTCCACAATATGAGAAAACTCTCCATTGCACGCAAGAAGCTGTGTACCCATTGTGAGTATATTTACCGCACCCAACAAACTTTGCAGTTGGAGGATCACTTTAAATGAACTGTTTTTTATGAAAATCAAACTTTAATCTCTCCCTTTTCTGTTCTGTCAGATACACAATGGTGTTCATGTTTTATGCAATTGCTGTGAGTTTGATGCTCCTGATAAGACCCTGGGTTGCTGGCAAGTTTGTGCCACTATCTGGTAAATTGTCAATTTATGCAGCTATGTATTTCTTTCCATTATTATCCCTCATCCATGCTGCCTTCGGAGGTCTGATCTGTAAGTTTGTAGCATGAAAATTTATCTTGAATCTCTGTTGTCTATGTATGTATGCAAATTTCAAATACCCCATTGTGCTTTCCAGATTTCTCATTCCCCTACATAATTATTATTTTATCAATCATATCAAATGCAGCTCACTTTGCTCTAGAATTGGATCAGGTATTGAGAAGCTTGGTTTCAATCATTTACTTCTCATATTACAAATGCATCAATTTTTCCTTAATATTTTTTAAAATTCTTTTGCAGTCTATGTCAGCTTTGGTGATGAACACAGTCACAGATACAGTGAATGTAGTGACTGTTCTTGTACACTGGGCTCTTAATGCATATGGTATAATTTCAATCACTCAACTGACTGAGCCATTGACTCATAGTCTATTAATTTTGCTTGTCCCTGCACCTACAATATTCTACATTCTCACCGCAAGATTTACCGATCCGAAGAAGCTACATGCTGACTGACACGTGCAGTACGCCTTGCAGTATGCTGCCGCTCAGGCACCTGCCCCTGTGCTTGGCATCAGACAAGGCGAGGCTCATCCATTTATTCCAAGGCCATCAGTCTCTGTACAGAGGACTACAGAGCACCCTCCTACTATTCGTGAATATGCTGTACCTGAAATGAGAGACTTTAGAGCCATAGATGGAGGCTTTCCCCGAATTCATTCTCTCCAATCACACTCACATGTATGCATCAGTTAAAAATTGACTTAAGATTGATTGTGATTTGAGACACTTATGTTGTGATATAATATTTTAAGTGTCAGAGTGTTGTTTACTGAATCTGTCTTATGACATCAGTATCTATTTATCTACTTTATTGTGCGTGTGACTTAAATTATTTTCGTTTTCTGCTTGTTCTTGTTATTAGAATTAACAAAGTAGTTTGTTAATATTGATCATACTAGATCAATCTCTCTGTAATGTTGACTTAAGGGGGAGGCTCGTCAATTTCCGTCAAAAAAGCAAATTTTCGTTTTTAGATTTTGAATTCTTTGCATCAAATTTCATTATTCTGATGGGCAAATTTAAACCTTTCCCGGCCAAAAGGCTACATGCTGAAACTACCACGGTTAGTAGCCTTCAAATTTGCTGCCACTCAATGCACTTTTGCGGCCTTGCGGCATGATTAGGCGAGACCTCATCCGTTTATTCCAAATTTTCTGGTGTACAAACCCAAAACAAGACCCTTCCTCTATTCTCAAATTGTACCTGCAAGTGGAATTTTAAAAAAGATCAAATGTGAGGCTTTTCCCGAATTCTTTGTGCAATGAAACAATAACATGTTAAAAACCCAGTTTAAAAAGTTAAACTTAAAGAAGTGTCTATTTGAGAAAAACTTATTTGGAAAAATTTGAAGTTAAAGAGCCTTGCTCTGAATTTTGTCTTTTGCAAGTATTTTTATCCTTTTTAAATTGTAAAGTGGACCTAAATTATTTTTTTTTACAATGTTCTTGTTTTAAGAATTAACAAAGAAAAGTTTGTTATTTGATCAAAACCTAAAATCTCTAGTTTTAATGGACCTTAATTCAGTTCCACTGAATTCTTGGTGTAGCGTAGTTAGACACAGACAGGAGTTGTTTTAATATCTCAGTTCCTGGTTTATTTACTCCCAATTGATAGGGATCCTTGGGATATGCGTGTTCTTTTTTTCAGTAGTAATTGGACTTCTCGTCTCTTTTCCAGTAGTAACTGGACTCATTGTAGTATTGCAGAATCTTCTTATCAAATAAGGATATAAAGTAGGAGAGGCTGGATGGTGCTTCCTGGTGACAAATGTGGTTGTGATCTGGCATTAATGTTAAAATATCATAAATGTTTCCACAATATAATTAGAATTCAACATTTAGAACATGAGAGTATTTGAAATAAACCAAAGATTTAAATAGCAATAACAATTGGTGTAGATATTTTTATTTAATCATAACTTGTAGTAGATAATCCCAATAGTATAAGAGGGAGACGAATTATTCATATTGCTAAGTATTATCACTGCACATTATTTATTTACTATACACTATTCATGTATTCTTTCAGAATACAAAAGTTCTTTTGTTCTATTTTAGAAAAAGAGGCAAAATTGAAAATGAAATTATAAAATAAAAAAATTGTCCCATATAATTTGCAGGGAATACATTCATATCCATACTACATTGCAGCCATAACTTTTGGGGGCAAGCTAAATTTTTCTCCATCATATTCTAATACACAGCCCAGAAGACGAGGAACAGAAACAAAAGTTCCTGAAACAACATGTGTAAACCCTAATGGTTTTTCTGAATTAGTTTCACAACACATCAACAGACGTTGGCTAATGAAATCATCACAAAGACTCAGACTTCCTATTTCTATGTATTGCTGCAAAGACATGGAAAACATTTGCACACTGGCTCGCAAGCTCTCCCAAGGCCTAAGCTTCATAGGTGGTAGATATTCTACTCGAAAGTGATAACCTAAGTTTTCATACAGACTAATTAATTTCTTCAAGCACAATTGAAATTCTTCCTGCGCTCCAATGCTGTCACCAGACGCAATGAATGCTTCAACAGCAGAGCTTTGCCATGTAGAAAACAAACCAGGTAATCCATTACTGGATTCTGGATTGTAATGCCTTCCCATAGTGATATAGCGCAATGGCAAATGTTTAACGTGAGTAATTGTTTTAGCATGATAGCCACAAAAAGAAACAAGAGAAGCGCCTCCAACCAGATGTAACCTAGAGAGAGGGTCCTTGGCATTAGAATCTTTTTCTAGAATAAAAACAGACTCCGCATCACGTGGATCCAAACCAACACCTTCAACAGTGATACTTCGACCAAAATCAGAATTTGACATGTGAACAAAACCTGTGTCACAGAATTTGTCCATGAACAAATAGCTGATGCCCATCTCAAATTGAGCTGCTTTATCTTTCAAAAAGTAGTATGAAGAATCATAATATTCAAGAAGCCCCAACTTCTCTGCCACCTCTAAATGGCTTGGATGATCTGAACTGGATACAGGTTTTGAACCAAAACTGTGAACAATTTTCTCAACGCCATCTACCGGTGTTTCTAAATTAAGTACATTAGGGAGTGATAAACCACCAATAACAGCTGTCCTTTCCAAGTTCCATAATTCCTGGGAAGCTGCACTCATTTTTTCTCTGACCTTGTCTTTTTCAGTTTCGTAAGTTTTGAAAAGCTTCGGGTTGTTAGAATAGGCAGACTTCATTTTTGCCACTGCTTCCGTTTTTTCTTTGTCCAATTGAGATATGTAATCCTTTAGAGCAACGTATTGATGCCAGCTTGTCTTTACCTGATGGATGTCAATGTTCATTCCTCGTAATTTTACATTTTCAATTAACAATTCCAAATTTTCAAATCTGACATCCAAGTTAACATGAGGTGTAAGGATTGCGCATGATTCACGAGCTTTATCACCAGTGATGAACAGAGAAGAGGTGCAACCTCTCTGACATTTCTCAATGATTGTGTAGTTAACTCTTCGGGTAATAGGTAACAATTTAGCGGTTTTAGAGAACATTTTCGTACCTATATCACTTAAGAAGCTAATCAGATTCTATATCTTCATCAATCTTGACACGTTTTGCTTCTTCAACAATAGGCTTCTGTGTCTCAATTTTACGCTTCTTGGCTGTTACAAAACTTCCTAATCCTGCAGCTCTTTCAGATTCTTCAATAGAATAAGGCTCTGTCTCAAGTGCCTTCATGCGACGCTTGTGAACTTTTGTCTTGAAATGCTCATTCAATGCCTGATCATTAATGAAATAGCGCCTGAAAAGTTAGAAAGGAAGAATTGGAATAACTTGATGAGGTTGAAGTCATACATATCAAGTAGATTCACATTTCCTCCATGAGACACTTACGCACAATGAAGACAGTAGAACTGGGCTTTGCCTGGTTTGTCAGCATCTACTTCTTGGTTGAGCAATTTTTCAACATTTTCTTCTTTCAAGTCTTGATTAATCTGCAAAAATAAATAAATACATGTTATTGAAACTTAACACTGGGCTTTGGAGAGGAGAGAGATCACTCCCTAACAGTAACCTGATGTCTACAACGCACTCTAATTAAGCAAATCACTGAGACGAGCGAAATGCGATACAAGAAACACAAAGAGATACGACGGAGGCATGAAATAAACAATAAACAAACGGATAAAAGACAAACGAGTTCGTGGTCGAGAGACAAATCAAACCTGATCAAGATCCTTGGTCCTATTACTTGTGCGCCACCTTCTCTGAAGGTGGGTATCACCACGGTGGTACTTCTTTCGTTTATAAGTCATTACTTGTCAGATGGACGCTGGGATACTGAAGGCAATGCCTAATATGACACGTGCGCATTGGTTATAACTAACCAAAAATACACGATGCAAAATTTACCTTTGACTAGTGGGTGGGAGGTACGTTCTACTTTCTGCCAGACGAAGGCAGTAGTGGTTTCGGAAGAAAAGCTTAAAACGATTTTAGATGAGGGCGAAATTAAAACAATTGAGTTATTTGTAATCAGAAAAATGATGGAATAAAAGAAATACTCTTATACTTGAGTTTTAGTGGCGTTAAGGCTCCTTTACGGAGTGACCGTCAGAGATTGAAAATGAAAGCACCCTAGCAGGGCCTTGTCGAAGTGTGACCGCGCGCGTTTAAATGTAATGTTTGGCTTTTTTGAAAGGCGTAGAAACAGAAGTTTTGGTTTTAAAATCTAGTTTTTCGTATCTGTGTATTTATGTGATGGTTTTATCGGGCTAAGCTCGTCCAAAATACATGCACCGAACTGTCTGCTTGTTCCAACTTTCGTCTCCACGCCATCTTCAAGAAAAAACTTGGTCATAAAAGATTCCGCTACTCATAGCATCCATGGTGGACGCCATCTTGAGCGCAAGTTGCGTCAAGCTGCGGGCCTAAACCAACGTTTGTTTCGCTCCTCCCGTTGTGTACACATTTAAATGGGATTTAAGGTGGAGTTGAGCTTCCGGTGCTATTTTGTGGACTAGTGTAACTGATAATGTCAGTCGGGGATTAAAATGAGACCCGAGTAAGTTGGAATTTCCAGTTTAAGTTGATGTGCAACGTTGACTGAGGGAGTCGGGCAGCTCGAGGAGACGAGACGGGACGAGGACTTGTTCGTGCTGGATCTGGATTAGCTTCGGCCTGAAGAAGAGACCAGCGGACTGCCCGCGGACCAACTGTGTGATGGTGTAGCCAGCAGTGCAAGTGCTTTATTATGGCCCAGGTTCTTAACAAGGACCCCATCACATATCAAAGGGAACGCGATGGATTTTTGCGGGAGCTTCAACACTTCCACGACACCCGGGGGTGAGTATGCCGCTTTGTTTTGGTCCGTCCAGGATACGCGACGGGCGGCTGTGGCGCAAACATTGAGGGGAACGATGCGTCCTCTGATTGAAAACGTCCCCTGTTTGTTCCCAGGACTCCCTTTCGCCGGGTCCCTCAGATTAATGGGCAGGAAGTCGACCTGTACCTCCTGTACGTGCTCGTTACCGCGCATGGAGGCTGGCTAAAGGTGAGTCGGAGTTTGCAATTATTTAGACTGGACCAGTTGTATTTGTATCGTAGCCCGTGGTCGCAATCTTTGTTTGAGTTGCTTTTGTTGCTCTTGGCTGTGTCTCAAGTTGCTGTTGTAATTTGCATTGGACACATTTTGAATGAATGTGAGTTTTGAATGATTGTTTCTCAATGAAACAAGTGCGACATAACGGTGAAAGATTATTGTGACCTTCAAACAACATTTTTGTGGAATATTTTTGTGATTCCTACGGCAAGTTTCAGTTTTGTTGTATTTGAGGTGTGCTTGCTGTTTTAGCTATTGTAGTGTGCCATTACTGTTTTGTAAGTAGTGTCAATTGTCGCATATTGTTCAGAAATCCTGTTAGCCTACGATGATCAGTTTCAATTCATTTGTTATTGATAAAATATCTTTGTTGAGGAGTTATTGCTGACAAGTGGCCTTTTAGAGTACTTAACCTAAATTTAGGCAGATTTTGTTTGTTGCATATGCTTGTATTTTTGCTACCTCTCGCAGACTACCGAAAATGTTAAACAGTCTCAGTAATGATAAGTGCTGTGCATTCTGCTTTGTTTTTTAATGCAGGCAATTTTGTTTCTTTATTAGCTACAGTTTCAGCTTGTTAACCGCATCGATTGATCACTTTTATTGGATGCTCAGTTTACACTATCAGTATTATAGGCTTAAGTATGTAAATGATTGGGTAATTTGCAGATATTGTCCTTATCATGTATTGTCTTTATCATGTATTTGTTTATTCCTGTATGGTAGAGTTTTAGCTAGCTCAGTTGTGCGTAATTTAGTCCCCATTTAGCTTTGAAAGAGTGTCGCTGTCTGCAGTTCAGCAATGAGTGAGCCATCTAGTGGGCACTCCATTTGGGCTTGTGTGTGTGTGGCCTCCATCCCCATCCCAGGAGGTCCCAGCACGTCCCAGTGGGTTGTGCAGTGCTGCTGGAGGGGCTGGGCGTTGGGTATGACCTGGGGTAGTCCTGCAGTGACAGGGAGGAACCAGAGGGGGTGTGATTGGTGTCTAGGGGGGGCGGGGCGCGCCGGGGCGTACGTTATGCAAGCGACCCTGACCGTCCTCACTACAGCTGAGCTCGGGGCGGGGCGGGGCGGTGAAGTGTCAACGGGGCCGGCCGGCTCCGCGCCGAGGCTGCCGAGGCGGGACGAGCAGGCCAGGCAGCTTTCCCGCCAAACAGTGGCGCGATGCGAGTCAAGCCGGGTCCTCGATCCGAGCCGAGCCGAGCCGAGCCGAGCCGGGCTGGGCTGGGCTGGGCGCGGAGCAAAGCCTTGGCGCGGAGCGCGGCGCAGCGACGGCGCAGCCCCGGCCGGTACGGCGCGGCCCACGGCCCACTGCGGCCAGCGAGCCGCGAGCCGAGCCGGGCCACGCGGAGCCGAGCCGGCGGGCCGCCGCCAGCCCGGGGGAGGAAAGGAGCACTCGGCGACCGGCCGCCGCCGCGGTGGGGCCGACGGGGCCGACAGGCGGCGGCACGGGGGCCGCGACGCCCGCGTTCGCCCACTAGATAGGTTAGGCCCCACGGGGTGCTGCCTGCCTTGCTGCCTGCATGGGTGGCTGAGGCTAGGGGTTGCTGGCGCAGGGGGCGCTCACCGCGCGGCATGGTTGGCCCGCACCAGCCAACTCGGGCAGTGCGGGGGACAACACACAGCGCAAGTGCTCGCGCTTCCATCCGCATATTACATGGCGTCTCCGGGAGAGGGGAGGGGAGGGGTCCGACAAGACTGGCACGCGGACGAGACGCGACACGCGGGCCAGTCACGCGACGGCCTGCCATGTCGGGCTTTGTGACAGGCCTTGGCGAGGCTCGGAGAACTCAGCTGCAAGATTGATGATGAGGTGCATTATGGTTGCACTTGGGGAGGTGGGGGGTGGAAGGACTGACCGGCTGGCCAGCCATGGCAGATTCAAGTGCTGAGGGCTGGTTACCAGAGTCGGTTCCGTCGCACTTACGGAGTGACCCGTGCAGGTGCGAGAGAGACAGCGACGAAATGTCTCGGAATGAGTCTGCTGCGCGCAGTGCCTGCAGTGGCGCCGGTCCGTCTGGCTTGGCGCGGCTCGGCGGTGCCTGCCGCCCCGTCCTCCCCGCCCCTCCTCCCCTCCTCCCCGCGGAGGCGCTAGTCAGCTGATCGGGAACCGGCCGCGCCCACGCCGCTGCGCTGCGGCCCCGAGGCGGTGCTCCACCCCCCTTCCCCGCCGTCCTGGCCGCTTGACCCCTTGGCACCAAGGGCCGGGGACAGTGCACTCTCATGAGAGTACAATCCGTTGCATCCCGTTGACCGCCCAGTATATTCAGCGAGTGACACGTCTTGTTTTCTTGTTTGCAGGTCAACCATCGGAATGAGTGGGAGGACCTTCTGGAGCAGTTCAAGCTGCCGCAGCGGTGCGTCAACAGTGGCGTGGCGCTCAAGCAGGTGTACCTCAGGTGAGTGCCTCGCGGCGTGTGGTGCCGAAAAGGGCAGCGCAGCGCCTCGATTAGATGGGATTGGATTGGTTGGATGGCGTTGGATTGGATTGGATGTCACCGCTTCCCACCGGCGGGCGGACTCTCGCACTGTCGACGCGACGGCGGCTCGCTGTCCGTCTCGCAGAGTGGATGCCTCGTTCCTCTTGCCTCCCCTGCGACACTGCCACCAGCACACTACTGATTCCGTGTGGGAGGTCTCTCTCGCACTCATGGGGCGTTCCGTACCGGTGAGAGAGAGAGAGAGACCAACGGCTGCATTGTGGTTCAGCTGGGCATGAAGATGCGCGCCCGGTCCCCGCCACTTGGGGCTGGCCGAGGCGAACTGGAAGGCTGTCGACGCCGTGCTGTGGCGTGCTGTGGCGTGCTGTGGTGTGCCGTGCGCTGCCGTGCGCTGCCGTGCGCTGCGCAACAAGCGGACAAGTGCCTACCGCGCCCCGCGAAGGAGGTTGTCGACCCGCCTCTCCCTCTCCCCTCCCCTCCCCGCGTGCGACGCGTGTGTTTCGGTGCCGCCTCCCTTTGGCGCCCTTACCGCCCCACCCCCGCCGGGGCGGCCTTGCCCCCTCCCCTCCCCTCCGCGCCCGCCCGCACCCCGCCCCGTCTGGACGCTGTCTGGCGGCGGCGGCGGTGGTGGCTCCGATGAGCGGCCGCCTACGGCTGCCCAAGGACAACAGGTGTAGTGCCCTGCGTTTACTTCGGCTTGTAATCTCGGCAGCTGCAGGACGCGTTTGCCGTCCCGGGGGTCAGTCATACAGCAGACTGCTTCTGAGAGTCGTTTTCGTCGCCCTGTTTCTCTCATCCATGCCGGACGCACCATGAGTGCGAGAGAGACACGGCGACGAAGACGACTCTCGGAATCAGTGTGCACTGTGGTGCACGGGGGACTTTGCTCTACCCGCCACTTCGCAGCTGCGGCTACCGGTGCAGTGCCGCGGGTCCGCCTGCCGGCCTCAAGCGCGCGCGGTCCAAGCCTGCCGGGCCTGCCGGGCCGGGGCCGCGCGGGGCCCGGCCCGTGAATGGAGCAGCCCCTCCCCCCCCCCCCTCCCTTCCCCGCCCCGCCCCCCTCCGCCCCGCCGCATCGTAGCGTAGTAGTAGCGTAAGTCGCGGCCCTCCCCCCGCCCACCTCGTCCCCGCGCCCTGGGAGGGGAGGGGGGCTGCAGGGCGCGGCGTTGTTGTGAGTCGCCACGCCGACGGCAGGGCACGGCACGGTGTGGCACGGCGCGGCGCGGTCTAGAGCCGGAGCGAGGCGGGGGGGCCCGTCGCACTGATCACGGGCGGCGACATCTGCCGTCCGGCCTCTGCACGGCCTATTGGGCCTCGAGAATCGTTTTCGTCGCCCTGGCGCTGTCGCACTCGTGGGGCATCTCTAGAAGCAAGAGAGAGGCAGAGCGCTGAATACAGCCTGGAATCAGTCTAGTACTGTGCGGCAGGCGGGACGGGAGGAGCGCAGGTTCGAGCCAACGGGGCGCAATGGGGCGCAACGGGGCTCAGAGCGCACTCATCGGCCACTTGTCTTTTGACCGCTCCCTTGCGATTTGCAGGTACCTGGACCGCTACGAGAAGGTCCACTTCCTGGGCGACGATGGCGGCCGCGGCAGCGACGACGACGACGACAGCAGGCACAAGCGGTGGTCGGCGCGGGCCCTGCACGCGGTGCCCCTCACGTACAACGCCTACCAGCACAACCTCACGGGTGAGTGCCTGCACTGTCTTCAGAACCATTCCGCACGTCGCGTTCGTCGCGCCGTCTCTGTTGCACTTATTCTGTCGCACTCATGGAGCGCCCTACGAACGGCAGTGCCAGTCTATCTTTTACCGCGATCTTTTTCGAGTCCTGAAAAGGAGGACTGAGCACCTCCTATAAGTAGGCAACCTGTTAACAATGTTAAAGAGCCTACTGGTTGGATGGGTGCTGAGAGATTTGTTGAGGGGTCTTATGTTCAGTTTGAAAACCTCACTGAAAGTGTGCAACTTGCAGACTGAACAGTTGGCAGGGTCCTGCAGGGCCCCCTCCGTGCATTTATTATGCAACGGCATGAGATAGCGCATCAGTACTGTACGTACTTGGGATCACGTAGTGCAGTTTGCCCTCTGCTTTTGAGAGTGGCCACTTCTAGTTGGGGCTCGCCGCCTGCGACTCGCCACTGGACGCCCTGCCGACTGATTTCGAGAGTCGTTTCGGTCCGGTCGCTCTGTCCCCCTCGCACTTCGTGGGCGCCCCGTATAGGTGCGAGGGCGACAGAGCGACGCAAACGACTCTCGGCATCAGTCTGCTGCCTATTGATTGATCTGCGCGAGTCCGTCCATCCCGCCCGCACTTCGAGTGCAGGCAGTGGCAGCGCCTCCACCTGACCGGACATGACCTGTCCGGTCTGAGCGACGTCCACCCTTGTGGATGGCACTCCCCGGCGCGTCTGGCGGAGGGGGCCGCTGCCACTGATGGTAGCGAGCCGCAGCGCGTCGCGGCGCGGCGTCGCGGCGCCATGCAGGAGGCGACTCCCCCGCCGCGCCCCTTGCTTCTGGGTCTCTCTGCAGACTGATTCCGAGAGTCGTTTTCGTCGCTCTGCCTCTCTCGCGCCTGTACAGGGCGCCCCATGGGTGCGAGAGAGACAGAGCGACTCTCGGACCACTGTCCGGCTGTCGGGCCTTTTCAGTGGAACGGAATGGCCGTTTCCATTCGCTGGCCGCCTCGTCGCGTCCTCGCGTTTGAATAATGATAATGGCTGGTTGATCACCTGGCGAGCCGAAGCCGCAAAGCACGTGAGGCTCGACCGACCACCATTTCCGCCGCAAACCGCGCCGCCATGACCGCCTGTCACTCCGTCTCTCCCGCACTCATGCGGCGTCCCGCCCAGGTGCGAGAGAGACAGCGACGTAGACGACTCTCGGAAGCAGTCTGCCCGCAGGCCGCGCGGCATGGGGTAGTTCGATCAGACCACCTCTGCTCCACTGTCTAGTGGCGTTGCGAAGGCGCAACACGCGACCGGCCGAGCAGCCGCGGCAAAGCCGAGTGTAGCGGCAGATAAGCGGGGAAAGCAGAAAGCTGATGCGTGCCCGCGAGGAGATAGCGGGGCCAGGCCGATGTCGCTCGAGGATTCGCGTCCGCAACGACGCGAGAGCGCAGCACCGTCGCCCCCAGATAGCGTGCGACGGAGCACCGCCATTTTCGAAACAGGTGGCTTGTTTTCTTCGTTATTAATGTACTTTCGTTAGATTCTATACTATGTTTGTCTGTGACTTTATTCTCTACGGAAGCTATGGACTCCTATGACCTCAAATGAGCGTGATTTTAGCAATTCTAATTTGTTAAATTTAATATTTAGCCACTTTTCCCCTCCTCCCCGTGTCAGCGCTTGGAGCAGACGCCACCAGAGGCATGGCGCGGACCGACAACATGCCGACTAGGTTAGGTCTGGACGTTCTTTCTCATTCTTAGCCATTAGAAAGGCATCTGATACAAGACAGCGTTTTTCTACAACAGCGAGCGGCATTTATTTTTGAAAAGTCACACCCATTTTATTCACTTAAAAGCGCAATATACGAATAAAAGCACAAAATCATGGCCAAACAGAGAACTCCAATTTGAAAAACCCGCTGCTCCGTCGCCCGCTATGTTTAGTTCCAGCTCAGCCACCAGAGGTCTCTGACTTTAGTTTGCGGACGCGAATTGCCGAGGACCTGATGCGCGGGCAGGGGCCGCAGGGGCTGCTGCCAACCTCGCGGTGCGCGGTGCGCAGCGCATGGCGCGGGCTTTGCAGCGGCGGCGCCAAGGCAGTCACGTGCTCCAGGGAGCACGGCAGGCGCACCTCGCTTTGTCGCTCTGTCTCTCTCGCACCCTTGCGGAGAGCGCCACGAGTGCGAGAGAGACAGAGCGAAGAAATGACTCTTCTGAATCGCTCTTGGCTTGCGCTCACACCTTTGTGCCTTATGGCTGCCGACGCCAAAGGCTCGTGAGCGACGGGAGTGGCGTGGGCCCGGTGGGAACGGAGAGAGAGGGAGAGAGAGTGAAGCAAGCGCCGCGGAGGAAGGAGTGAGAGGAGAGCGGCCGGGCCCGCCGGGCCCAGCGAAGCGAGCGCGGCAGGCGGCAGCGCGGCAGGCGGCAGGCCCCCGGCGCGTCCTGTCGCGTCCCCGGCCCGGCTAGCGCGGCGTGCGGCCTCGCAGCGGAGCGGCGCTGCCGCTGCCTGGCGGCTGGCTGCTCTGGCGCGCGCTGTGGCGGCGGTGCACAGCGGCAACGCCGCGCGCCTCGCCTGGCGGCGGGCGGCAAGGGGCCGGCCGGGCACTGCCTCCACGGCGGCGCGCCGCGTGCTGTGCCGAGCTGCTAGCGCTGTCGAGGCGGCTCAGGATGCGGATGAGGATGTCCAGCCCGCGGCTCTCGCGGCCCCTGCCCTGCTTGTCATTCAACCGACTCGTCGTCGCGCCGGCGTCCTCTGCTGACCTCGCGGACCATGCAGGCCGCGAGGGTGGCTGGCCGATGCGGCACGGCGGCAATGCTCGTATCGACGCGGCGTCATCGGTCATCCGTCCGCGGTGCGCGGTGCGCGGCGCCGCGCGAAGAGGGATGGGGTGGGGGCGGGCGCGCCGCGTAGCACCGCGCGCGTGCCTGCCTGCCCTGGCTGACCGGCCGGCAGCCTCGTGTCGCTGCTTCGCTGCTTGGGGCTTTGTTCCAGCGCCACGCCCTCTTTCCTCTTCGTGCCGCGCTCTAGAGGTGGCCAAGGTGGCCCAAAGATGGGCCGGTGGGGCCGTCTGGCTGTTTGATGGCTCTGGGGTCGGGGAGGAGGGGGGGCGTAAAGCAGCTCGTCTTTCCACTGGGCGGCAACGCGGCGCGCGAAGCGTGCGCGTTTGGCTTTGTGGCCGTTACTCTCGCCAGCCTTGAGGCTTGGCTCAGGCGCCTGGCTGCGCGCTGCGCCTGGCCCAGGCAGCCATGAGGCCCGGGCGGGCGGGCCGGCCGGGGGCCCGCCGTGGGTTGCACGCCGCGCCTTTGCCCGCCTTTGCCTGGGCGCCGCGCATTCATTCCGCTTGTCACGCCGCACCACGACGCGTTTTGGGTATTTTTGACTGGCGCGGCGCGGATTTGGCGCGCAGGGAGAGCGATTTCTGGTGTGAACGGCGCTCGGCGCGCGGTCGTCAACGGCGGCCCCCACCCCTGCCCCCCACACTTGGGCGCGGCGGCCGGCCCCCCGTTGGCTATTTCAGTCGCCTTGGCCAAGCGCTCCAAGCGCGGGGGGCCTTGCTGGGGTATTCCGCTGTGGAGCAGCGGACTGGCTCTCGCTCGGTCTGCCTCTCTCGCACCCACTCGTTGCGCCCCATTCGTGCAGTTTGGCGTCCTGGGCCCAGGGGCAGGGAGAAACCCGCCATCTGCCCCAAAAGGCCCGAGGCTTCGGGGATGGGCTTCGCCAACCCCCCTCCCCCGCCCCTCCCTGTGCCCCAGTGTGCCGCGCGGTGTCCTCATGGAGAGCAGGCGGCACTGGAAACCGGTTCCCTCGTGGTGCGGCCCGCCGACGGCCCGCCGAGTGGCCCTTTTGCCGCCTTTTGACGCGCCCCGCCTGTCGACTTGGATCACCTCTGGCTGCCTCTTGGCCCTCCTGGCGGGCCGGTGGCGCGCGGTATCGACCGCCGCGCTTGCCGAGTTTGCTCGTGTTTCGTCCGCCCGTTTGTGTCGGCGCCCGTCGTCGTCCTCGACTTCCCCTGCTCGTTATAACATCCCGGGCACAGCATTCCGCGCTGCTGGACTCCCGCGGCCCCTAGCCCCTCCCCTCCGCTCCCATCCTCCGGCCCCGCCCGCCGCCGCCGCTCCGCCGACTCGGCATTTGATTGGTTCATGAAGTTTGCAGACGGACTGAATGGCGCAGTATGGCCGGCCTTTGTTTACGTAAGTGCCTGGCCGCATTGATCGCGCGGCCCCGCGCGGCCCTGTGGCGCGGCGAGGCGTTGCGCCGGACGGCCCCGGGTCTGCCGTCTGATTCCGAGCACTGCTTTCGTCGCTCTGTCTCTCTCGCACTCATGGGGCGGTCCGTAGGGGTGCGAGAGAGACAGAGCGACGAAGCAGTGCTCGGAATGAGGCGGCTGGGGCCGGACTCCCTTGCCCCGAGACGAGACGAGAGGTATGCCGACCCGCCAGACACTGCGTCTCCCAGGCCGGAGGGGAATGCTGCGGGCGTGTTTGGCGGGACGGCACAGTGGATTCGCCAGAAGACCGGTGGAGGTGGCCCAAATTCGGGACGCGTTTTGAGCTCCAAAGTCGCTAAATGGGACTCGAAGCGAACATGTGACCGCACCAATGGATTGCTCTCCGACCGAGATGGGTGGGGTCACACGTCCTGTTCAGTGACTCTGGAGCTTTTGGCCGCCTCCACCGGTCTTCTGCTTCTGACCCACTGTGGACTGCGTACTTCACATTTTTTTCTCGGGTTTTCTGGCCCACCTAACTCAGGGTGCTCGTAACCTAATACGGTGGGGGTGGCAGGAAGGATGTGCATCGTTCTATGGGCGTTAGTACCCATTTGAACGTTGCATTCGGTGATAGTCAATCCTTTGCGAATTGCACGTTGACCACCTTCATGGACGAGCCCCTCTTTGGGCGTCCCGATATCCAGTGTCTGAGATGAAAACGGCGGATGTAAACCAGGTCGCCCTTCCCTCTGCCGAGCGACTCAGAAGAGTCGTCTCGTCTCTGTTGCACTCATGGAGGTCTCC